GGGGGGCGGGGGGGTGTACCTCCGCTAGCCAGTGGGACCCAAAGCCTAGTTTGCAATAGTTCGTTCTTCATGCTAATTCATTTGGGAACCCTTTCTGTATTTTCGCAAAAGTCAAAAAATGTGTTGACTGGCGTTAATTCAAACTTTATTGTTCTACCGGTAAAGCGACATTTCATATAAGGTGCGTTTCGATTAAAATTAGTTAACAACCAGACTTTAGCTACAACAAGCGAAAAACTGGACTGTTGCGCATAATTTTTTTTGTGGATGACAACAAAAGGATTTTTGATCACAAGCTGGCAGCTAGCCCACAGTCATGCTAACATTAGCTCAACCTAGCCAGATGCCAGCCGCCACACAAAATGGTTCTAACGGCTTTGCTAAATCTACCGTTATTCGTCGTTTTGCCCCGTGAACTTAAGGTTGTTACCTAGTATTTAAAATTTTACAGTTAGTGCTAGCGTTGAACTTAATGTTGTGCTTGGAGTCAAGCAGCCCCCACCACCACCACCGTGTCGCTCGCTGCCGGCCTATAGTTGGTGTTAGCACTGGAGGTGGTCGCTGTCACAAATTGAACTCATTGTACAGTAAACGTCTTATTTGTAGGCGCTCACCTACAATCTTAATGATCATAATGCGTCCAAGTCAGTCGGATCGTGACCGAGTTACGCTCCGTGAGCTAACTTTGTAGTTTGTCAAACCTAAAGCGTAAGCTATGTAGTTATCGACAAGCTTTCTGTGTATTTATAAATATTTACTATAACAATAGTGTACATGTTTGTGTGTCCGCTATCCTGATAGGTCTGGCTTCATCTTGTGACGTCTTGTTCTTAGAGGGGGCTCCATCGAGCAGGGGGGCCTAAAGTGTAGCAATAGGTCCCTCGTCTTGTTTACTGAGTCCTCCCGAGACTCCCGAGTTGTCCAGCCAAGATGTCCTCCATCTTGCCATTTACTCCCCCTGTGGTGAAGAGGCTTTTGGGCTGGAAGAAGTCGACCAATGGGCCAGGTGGAGTGGGTGGGGGAGAACAGAATGGCCAGGAGGAGAAATGGTGTGAGAAAGCTGTAAAGAGTTTAGTGAAGAAGCTCAAGAAGACTGGGCAGCTGGATGAGCTGGAGAAAGCTATCACCACACAGAACTGCAACACCAAGTGTGTCACCATCCCCAGGTATAACGTCAAACTTGTGATGATTTGCTCCCATCATTAATGCATATGTACACATAATGGGAATTGTGAAACACTTTTGTTTAGAGACGTATACTTGTATCAATTTGCAACCTTGATGATCAGACTCAAGTTCTGTGGGAACACTGATAGACTGGCAAAGACCATTTCAGATGTTTGGATGTCTCAAGATAACACTTTAGTTATCGCCTGAGAATTGTTCTGGACCTTTGTAGAAATACAGAGGCTACCATTTTGCGAATTAATTTGTCCTTACTACTAACAACCACAGAATACAATATTAAATCATTGCCACTAGTCACAGATATGACAGTAGTATGCGCTGAAAAATGCGCCACCAGAAACTGAATCTGAATCGCTAAGCGCATTGACAAACTGAATCTGAATTGTACAATTTTAATTCCTCACTGAAAATTCCATTTTGTGTATTGTTTTTACATTCAATTTTACAAATACAAATTGAAATCTTTTACAAATTAAAATCATTTGCCCACAGATTTAGTTACCTTGACTTTTTTTAAGAGTAAAAATTCAAATTTTCAATGTGCAAATTCAATTCCCGTGACAAACATCCGGGCACTTGAGGATGAGCGATCAGATGTCCCGTTTGTCCAATCAGCATCCTCATTTTGGACATGTGACACTCGCACTCCATAAAAAAAAAAAAAGGTCTCCTAACCGGTTCTTAACTTTTAGAGCACCTTTCTCTAACTTTTGTGGTACAAGCCATTGGGTCAGGGAGGGATGAAAAGGTGCTTCTTTTCAAATTTAGAAAATGACAGTATATATTTATTTAGCACCTTATCAAAATGAGGCCCTGTAGTCGTTTGTCTTGATTTCATTTTTTTTTCTTTCTCAAATAACTCATGGCAGCGTTGAACCGAAAGCCTTAGCCATATATTGACCCCTAGGGGTAGTAACCATGCACAGCAGTGGGGGCTCATCCTAAGTCTCTTAATTGAACACAGGACTTCAAAAATGAATAGCTCGTCCTCGGATTCTTATGTTACATATTTAGCTGAGTGCCTGTTCTATGTGGGGCAATTTTTGATACCAGAATGCCTTGTTTACACTGACATAGAGCATTCGCCAAATCATCCACATTTAAAAATTATTATTTCAATTCTGGATTTCTGAGGTAGACCATGATTCACCCACACTGGCATTTCAGGACAGTAAATATGGGACGGTTCAGCCAAAAAGAACCGCCGCCCAATACTTACGCACATTGAATTATAAAAAGCTTTAAGTCTGATGAGTTTTACCTTTAATGCATTTTATAGGTGCTGTAAGAAGTTGCAGTCTCATTGGCAAGCCTGCAATCAACTGTTTATTCGCACTCTGCTCGCCATGCGTACCACCACCTGCACTCCCCATTCCAGTACATAAATTGATTCGAAAACAAGCTACATACCTTATTTTCTGTCAAATTATTACTGTATATGTTTTATGTTCAATAAACAATAAACAAACAAGTAGTTTGAATCAAGCTGTACCGTCGCAGACCAGCTATATGGTGCCATCCTCTTTTCAAGTGCCTGAACGATGATGTCACTGCTTATTTACATCAAAACAGAACATGCGCAGACAGGGTGCAGCCTGCCCATTACGATTGAACCGTAATGTTTGCATGACTTTGGATCGGTTTGGGGAAAGGAATATTCCAACCCTCTGAATGCAAATGAAATTGAGTTCCCATTTGGCCTATATATTCTGACTGAGTTGTTTTTATGGAACATTTTCTTTCGTTTTGTGCATTTGGTTTTATTCTATTTTATTCTAATCAGATCACATTGCTCCATGTAAGTCTGGCTAAATATCCCAATATTATTGTTTAAAATGGGAGTGCAGGATATTGTGTGTGTTTGCGGTGCCTGTTATGAAGTTTTGATTCCTCACATGCTATGATGTAATGTATTGTGTATCTGTGGCACATTGTACTTTTTGTTGTACATGTACGATGCATTTCCTTTTACTTTGCTTTGTCTTATGTTTTTATCAAACGCCCAGATCAGCTTTGCAAATGACAAATTGTCCTCAATGACCTTACCTGGATAAATAAAGGTTAAATATATAGATTAAATAAAATTAATAATCTGCTTTTTTTCTTTTCTTCCCACCATGCACAGCAATTGCTCGGAAATATGGGGACTGAGTTCGCCAAATATGATAGAACAGTGGGATACTTCAGGCCTTTACAGCTATTCTGACCAAACAAGGTGAACATCAATGACTGACAGCGTGAACATCTTTGCCATGTGATAATTACTACAATAAGTGACAAACAATGCAAACACATGAGTTTCATAATCATCAGCATACAATCTGATCTCTTATTAATTTCCCTTCCTCTCTTGTCTCCACCTTGTGCCTTTTGTCATCCCTCTGCATTTTGGCATCCGTTAAGATCCCTTGATGGCCGCTTGCAGGTGTCCCACAGGAAGGGGCTTCCCCATGTTATCTATTGCCGTTTATGGCGGTGGCCAGACCTTCACAGCCACCATGAACTGCGTGCTATCGAGGCCTGTGAGTATGCCTTTCACCTCAAGAAGGATGAGGTCTGCATCAACCCCTACCATTATCAGAGGGTCGAGACCCCAGGTAAGATGGCTTTCTGGAACTCATTTGTATCACTTATCGGCTGTGGCGGTAGATATAGTTACATGACCATCTGGTGAAGGTGAACATTTGAATAATATGAAACACTAATGAACACTTTGCAGTACAAATGAATATATTCCTAACAGGATGGAAATCTGTCACAGTCCATGTCCAAACGAGCCACTCATAATTCAAATGATTGAAATGCTTAAGCTCAAATGAAACGGAACAAAAAAAACTAAACTTCCCTGTACTGGCAAACACTATGTGCGACTTGCAAGTACTCCTTTGCTGTTGTCAATATGTTTTTGCACCTGCAACATGTGCTGCTTGTCAGTGAATCTTGCATGACAAGAATGATGGAAACCACCATAGTTTGAGATGGCCATCCAAGCTGCCACATTGTTTGTCACCATATGTTTGGATGTCTGCAGCATGTCATTGCACAAAATTTTGTGCAATTTCGGCTGGACTGCCTTCTAAATATTGGCCCTAAAGTACAATTTCTTTGCAGATGAAATACACACATAGCAACACTTATCACAAAATTCTTCATCGCTTGATAACATTTTGTCCGTCAACGAGTCTGCTATCTTGCTTGTTTTTATTTGATATATAAGAAAACCTTTATTAGTCTCGCAATGGAGAAATTCCCAATTCACAGCAGCAAAGTTATGAATGGAAGAAGTAGAACAACAAAATTAAGGAGCTGCTGGAAAGGCAGCCACTCTCGCGGCGCCATCTTGAAGTCAAAATAACAAAAATAACTTATATAATCGCCAATAGTAGAATGCTTCTCATTGGTGACAAATATCGCTGTCTTCACGGCGTCTCTGATTGGCTCAGCCGAGGCGTTAATTTATAAAATGAAATACAATATTGTCAAGTAATGTGCACATAAGGTACTGTTTTTAAAGATTTTGTTTCCAAGGCTATCAGAATTGCAACATTGAAACTTCACTATTCAAAATAAAGGTGTGCTTAATTCAGGCTACTTATACATTCAAGCACAGCACCTAAAAGCTGGATTTTTGGAGTGCTCCAGCGCAGTATACTTTTTTTTTGGCTCATGCACAGGCAGAAGAGGCATTGTGCATTTTCTGTTTCTTTCCATCTATCCATTATCCAATGGATGCAAAATTTTGTGAACCCCATATGTGCCATGTGACATGATGAACTACGGTTGTCTCCAATTAGGCGTAGTCAGCAGAACAATGCTTTCATGTGTGAGCCAAGTGTTGGTGTTTTTTTTTTTCTTCCCTTTAACAAGAGTGACATTTCTTTAAAATGAAAGCCAATAAAACTGAAGATGCTTCAAGCAGAGACTAACTGAACTCTAATGAACTTTGCTATTCCCACAGTTCTGCCTCCAGTTCTTGTGCCAAGACACTCTGAAATTCTGACGGAGCTGCCGCCTCTGGATGACTACACTCATTCTATACCTGAGAACACAAACTTTCCTGCAGGAATTGATCCTCCAAATAACTACATACCAGGTGAGGTCACTGTTATATCATTTGGCTTCTGTGAAATAAATAAAACAATGAGTTCCGGACTTGGTTCGAGTGTCTCGCAATACCATTTCATTGCTCTGTTCTGTTTCATTGATTGAACAGAAACACCTCCACCTGGCTACATCAGTGAGGATGGGGAGGCCAGTGATCAACAGATGAATCAAAGCATGGATACAGGTACTACAGACTTGGGATTTAAGACACAGTTTGGCTTTGTCTCGAATTATTTGTTGTCATGAATGATTAATTATCAATTATTAGAGATCGACAACTTCATTATTGTACCCATTCCGCATGAAAAAACAGGGGTTGGCTACCCCCAAAAACACCCACACTCACAAAAAAAAAAAAGAATCTTTGGCTGCCGAACCAAGGTGTAGTGGTCCACTGTAGTAGAGGAAATATGTTTAGAATCCCCTACCCATGTTAGTAAATTGAGAGTAAATCGGGTGCGGTGACATACAGGCCGGCAGTTGCCCATCCCTGATCTATTTCACTTTATTTGGATGGTAAATATATTAACAATTTACAAGAAAAATGCCCAAAAAGAAAATTATGTTAATTTTATTTTCCAAATAAGAATTCCTTTGATTCTTTTGTACGGCACTGTACATTGGTAATTTAATTCTTTTTCAGTTGTCATTGACCCACCACACACACACACAAACACACACACACACACACACACACACACACACACCTTTTTCATCACAAATATCGCTGCTGTTCTGCCGCTTCTGGTTACTTGTGTGAAACAAATCTTTGGATTTCATGTCCTTTTGCCAGGTTCTCCAGCAGAGATGTCTCCGAGCACTCTGTCACCTGTCAATCACAGCATGGGTAGAACAGCGATCAACCTTAATTGAGATTAGCAATGTGCGTACATCATCTGAATGAACATTTTTCTGAGGAGGATTCGACTCTCTATCTCTCTATAGACCTGCAACCGGTGACTTACTCAGAACCGGCCTTTTGGTGCTCAATAGCCTACTATGAGCTGAACCAACGTGTCGGGGAGACCTTCCATGCATCACAGCCCTCACTGACTGTGGACGGATTTACAGACCCTTCCAACTCTGAGCGATTCTGCTTGGGTCTGCTGTCTAATGTCAACAGAAATGCCACTGTGGAGATGACACGAAGGCATATAGGTAAGAAAGACACAGCTTCAGAGATGGGAATACATTTCTGTCTTCCGAAAAAAGAAAAAAATTTCACCGTGTTTGGGGAGAACAGATTGCAACTTGGATCGCAATTTCATTTTAACCTTTTGTAGCTTATGAGAATTGTATTTTTGTTGTTGTATATACAGGAAGAGGAGTTAGACTCTACTACATTGGTGGGGAAGTGTTTGCAGAGTGTCTCAGTGACAGTGCCATCTTTGTCCAGAGTCCAAACTGCAATCAGCGGTATGGATGGCATCCAGCAACAGTGTGTAAAATTCCACCAGGTAATAGCTGGTTGTCCTATTGTCATTTCCGGGGTTTTAGCATGTGCTTTAGTTTCCATCTTCGTCAAAATGCAAGGCAGCAACATTTCAAGAAACTTGCAGTTTAATTCATAGTGGTTGATAGCTTTTATCTTTTTTTATATATACTTTGAGCTGTTGTAAAATCAAATCCATAGAAAATGTCACACATACAGTACATACAATATGAGAACACTCGCCAGGTGCTGCTGTAGGATTTAGCTCACACCTGGACACTCACATGCAGACTAACTAACCAACCAACCTGAATGAAGCTCCTGTTGTCAGTCACGAGGCCACAGCCCTTAAAGGGACACATCCTACACAATAATACCCTCATTTCTGGATTATAAAATACATTTTTATTAGACATAGGGTTATGGGGAGGAATTTGAAAATGAATCGCATAGTATAGATGTTTACCTGGTATCTAGGGGTTGTTTTATATATACATAATGGAAAATAAATTTAGGACAGATTAGGTAACATTGAAGAATTTCTTGCAGTACATCTGCTGTCGACCGAAGCACTACTGGCTCTCACTGGTTGGAAGTAACTCATTAAGTCGCATGTTAAAAACCTGCTCATTAACCTTTCCTATGTACCTCTTCTTTACCCCACTCAGGTTGTAATTTAAAAATCTTCAACAATCAGGAATTTGCAGCTTTGTTGGCCCAGTCCGTTAACCAGGGCTTTGAAGCAGTGTACCAACTCACTAGGATGTGCACCATCCGCATGAGCTTTGTCAAAGGCTGGGGAGCAGAGTACAGGTGATCATATCATTTGATGCACGAATGAATGTGAAGCTGTTGAAATGAGCGCGTTGAGAGAATTGCAACTGCTTTTCTACAACCTGAGTTAAGTCACCACCTTCAGTGGCCCAGTATGAAACTTTAAAAAGGTCATTTCTCATCATTGCTAATCAGAGCAGCTATTTCTTCCACACAGAAGGTGTGCCCATACAATTTTCCTCGTTTGAGATCTCACAACTACTGTTCTCTTGATATCCCAAAACTCATGTTCTCTTCTACTGTAGAATTTGAATGCAGGTCTCCACATGGCGAACTGCAGTTTTGATACATTCTTGTTTTTTATACACATCTTCTCCCCCCTCACAGAAGGCAGACAGTCACGAGCACCCCGTGCTGGATTGAGTTGCATCTAAATGGTCCTCTTCAGTGGCTGGACAAGGTGTTGACTCAGATGGGTTCCCCTTCTGCACGCTGTTCGAGTATGTCCTAAACAACAATGGAACTCCACAGTCCTCAAAAGAAAACAAATACAAAGAGCAAATCTAATATTGAGACCCGTCATGGAAATCCCAGCAGAATAATTTGTGTTCATTACATAGTATTTGTGACCTTTCACCACAGACCTCAATACATGTACGCACATACACACCCCTACAAACACACAGACTTGAGTAAAGAATTTGGCACTTTGTTAGTCATCTTTGTCATGCACCTTGTTAAACTGCTTCTCCCCAAATCATGTATTGATATTCGATCTATCTGAGGTACAAATGATGTGTAAGGTGTTCTTGTTCAGGAAGTAGGGAAAAAATACCAAAAATGTTGGAATATTTCTCAGTTGCTGGCTTGTGTGCTGAAAGATCTTTGCTCTGGACCTTCTCAAGTATTGTTCTGAGCATATGTTTTCATTTCTCAAAGAAATATTGCCCGTGTTTTGTCTGAGTTCAGGTAGCTGAGTGAAGGTGGCCGTGGAGTGGAACTTTTTTAAAAATGTAATGAAATCAACCTCACTGTATGCTAGACTTGAATTTTTCCCTCCCCGGCCCCTGTTTTCCCCACCTAAACTCTTGTGTCGTTATAAGACATACTACTTAACTGACAAATAGGAATGTTGGTTTAAAAATCCAAAAACGCTAAACAAACTGAAAGCTCAGTATGTTTGTTAGTTTCTTTGTCATTATATGGCAGTATTTGTGTTCCTGGTGAAGTTAATTTGCATCCCAACACACGGCCTGTTTTACAAACTAGGCTTTGAGGGGTGCATTGGGCAGGGACCAGAGAGTATCAGCTATTCGCAAGAGCTTATTTTGTCTTTATGACACAGCACTCTCTGAGGAGAGGCATTGAATTGTCTCATCAAGATTAATTAAAGGTATCAATGAGTATTCATCATTGGTTTTAGCCTATATCCCAGTTGTTTTGCTACTTTTTGTATTCTCATGTATTTTTATATATAAATCTACTTAATGTTGTCATTCACACTTTCTATTAAAGTAATGTTTAAAAAACAAAGATAGCTGTCAGCGAAACTGGCCTGGGGGGGCTTGGAACATTCCTTTATGTGGCCCAAAATGTTCAGATGGAATTAATTTCCATTTGCAGCTCCTTGTCTCAGTGGTGAGGGGGTATTTGCAACCAAGCAATGGCCCTTCCTTCATCTCTTCACAAAGACCATGATAGTAGCCTTTTTAAGCTTTGTCACCATAAACTGTCAGCTAGCTTTCAAAGTGTTCTCAAAACATGGGAGATCACTTTTCTTTCTTCCCAAAGAAAAGTGCTAATGTGCCGCTCAGTGGGCCCAGTGGTGTTAAGTGTACTGTATTTGTTCTGTCTATGAAATATAGTAATACAACACTTATTTGCGCTTCCCTTTTTGTCAGTATGTATGTCTCCGGTGCAAGTTTCACGTGTTTCACCTCCCCTCGATGTATATGTGTTCACTTTGAGGCACTAACGATTGTACTTGAAGTGTACTTCGTGACGTTTGGATTTGGGGAAATTAACCATGTGTTCGGAGGATATAGTGTTGCATCATTTTATCTTTGGCCTACAACATATGAATGTGAAAACGTACCTTACAAAAACTGATGTGGCCCATACGTACAAACGCATAATAGTAGTTCAGTATGTGTGTACAGTATTTAACAGTTATCTTTTTGCAGTCAATACATAGATGTTGCAATTTTACCAGTAGAGGGCGGTATTGGAGCAGTTATTTTTCCCTGACCACAAGCTTCTCAGGCGTGGGGCATATTATGCAGACTTAATAAAACACTAAATAAAGATTTTTATTCTCATGACTCGTGTTTACGCGTAGTTCTATCTTAGGGTTTCTGATGGTAGAACAATATTGGACAACATTTTTACTAGGGTTTATTTTTTTTATCGTGTAGGAGCCACTTAACCATCTGGATAGGATAAAGAAATATATAGAGTGTATACATTTAAAATTCTATACGATAGACCAAATAGCTTTGATATATGACTTGCATTGTACAGTAGTCCAAGTGGCACAATTGTTTTGCAACGTAAAGTTTAACCTGGCTTGGTTTTTCCCTCCGAGGACACCGTAGGTTACGTCAACGTAAATAGCTTTTGCCAGCTGTCCATTGAAATAACATGGCGTTTACGCTTTACTCGCTCATCCAAGCAGCAATTCTCTGCGTGAATGCCGTGGCTGTATTGCACGAAGAACGGTTTTTGAGCAGAAGTAAGTTATGATGACTCTACATCGCCTTTATGTTCTGAAATGTTAGTTTTGTCGTCGACACATTTAATGTTAGCAGCCTAGCTAAGGTGGGGAAGCAATGCTGTTTGACCCAGCAGCTCAATCAAAATAACGAATCAAATTCTGAATCATTTTGCTCGCCAGGGGACAGTATGACAAGCTTAACGGCACCTAATGTCCGAAAACTACAATGAATTGTCACAAAAGTATATCTGGGCATCTACTTACGCCCACCAAAGCCTCTGAAAGTGTTAAACGATTATACCAATACTGTATTTGGTGTTTAATGGACGTGAAGCGTTTTCCTCGCTAGACGCTCATTATCAAGATGAAAGTTTAGCGTTCGAAAACTGGCGCTCAATCGTCGCGAAAATGTATACGGACATCTATCTATACGTGTGACCCTCCAACCTGTGAAAGTATTAGAACGATCACCCAGAAATTTTGTATTTTATGGACGTCAAGTGTTTTCCTCTGTTTAGAAAAAGCGTAAGCCCAGAAAACTGCAATCATTCTTCACCAAAAAAAGTATGTGGACATGTACACCTATGCACTCTATAACTGCTGCAAGAATTAGAAAGATCACCCCAATAATTTTATTGATTTTATGGTCGTTACGCTTTTCCTCTGCGTAGACGCTCACAGCAGAAGCTTAAATTCGCTAAATCAGGGAAACGCTTTACGTCAATAAAATTCAAAACATTGGGGCAATCGTTATATTTTTCAGAGGTTGACGTGGACGCAAGTACAGCTGTCCACATAGGTTTTTCTGATGATTGATGACACTTTTCTGGCGTTCGAAGATTATGAATTTTCTCTAAAGTGAGCATCTCTGGAGAGGAAAAGCTTAAGGTACATTAAATCCCAAATATTGGGGTAATCCTTCTGCTATTTCATTGGTTGAAATGGACATAAGTGGATGTGTCCACATTAATTTCGGTGGCGATTGATCACAGTTTCTCACATTAAGAGACTTTTTTAACCTAAGGTTAAGCGTCTCTCTATCTTAGACTGTCCCCTAATGGGTACAAGGAATATGTGTTCTTTGAATTTACTGAGGAGTCATAAAATCTTTTTGATTATTATTTGACAACATTTATGCTTGAGTAGAATAGACAGATGTGAGAATAATATGTACGTGTGTAGTTGGATGGGGAGTGGACCAGGGCGTTGGAGGATTTGGTGATGAACCAGGCATCAAAGTTCAGATGATGACCCTAATTCGCTCTGTGCGTACAGTCATGAGAGGTGAGCGAAAACCACATCTTGCTCAGAAACCCTGTTCAAGTTTGAATGTCAACAAGTACAATGAAACATGTTTTTCGTGCCATCGCAGTGCCTTTGATTGCAGTGAATTCCGTGTGTATCGTTTTGTTGCTGCTGTTTGGATGAAGAAAATGACTGGACAAAGCAGAAGGAACCAGTTGCCTCCATCTTCACAATCTCAGGAAGCTGTGGATTTACACAATATATAATATCGATAGGGTAGCAATGATCGAAAATTATTAAAAAGCTGTCATATCACAAACCTTTTCTGCAGTGTTTAAACACAAATCGGCTATTATGTCGTCGGGAATGTCACGATCCCATCACGTGGTTTTCGTTGATTGGCCATCAGGGCAAAAAGATGGGTTTTCTTAAATAATTTTATGGGTCACAAAGTGACTAAATAACCCAACGTTATTAAATATGTCTTCAACTGGAGGAGTAAAATCCTAATTGTATCTTACGCAATATTATGTTTGGTTTTTGGGGTGTATAATGGTCAGAGTTTCAATAAAGATTGTTTAAAAAAAAAAAGTGTAGTGGTCAGAGTTGCACTAAGAGCCAAAAACACGCGTGGAGGCTCTGCCTGTGCGCAGTGCCTTTCCTCCATGCTGCAGCAGAACCTAAATTTTTTTGGAGTAACAAGGACACACAGACGTTGTGCCAACACTCGGGGTAAGCCAAAAGATACTTAAAAATAGCCTAAGTTTCCCTTGCTTGCTATAAAGCCACCTCACAGAAGGCATTAGAATTGTAAGAGTGACAGACAGGTGAGCAATTATGACTCGTCCAAACACCTCAACTTCAAATAGAAGTTTAACGAGTGTAAATTATTTGGTGACAAGCAAGCTTGTTCTCCACCGATTGCATGTAACGACGTCATAAATTTAATAGTGTCATTTGTTGTTTCAAGGTACCCCAAAACGATGTAGCTGTGCAGTTTTGTCATTTTAGCCTGCTCAGATTCATGTATTGTTTACCATTACATGAATCAAATGCACCCAAGCAGAGAAATTCTTTATTCTATAATAATGCTCATATGTATAGGCCATGCCACAAATTGATGACATTGCATCCTCAGGAAAAATGTTTAAATGCGCTATACAATTATATGAAAATACATTTTGTACAGCATCCTGTGCATTGATATTTAATGTGCTTAATGTTAGCATTCTACTAGTATAAATGTCATGACAATAGTTTAATGTATTTGCTAATTTTATACTAAAAACCCATGAAGAGTTCCAGTCCAGAAAACAATGACGGAAAATAAAACGTCTCAGATCGACAAGTGCGCACGTTGACTATGTCGAATATGTGTATCATCAAATTTCGAGCTAAAAAAAAAAAGAAAGAAAATGATGTAATTTTTGTTTTGCTTTGAGAGTTGCAAAAAGCAATTGGCATTCATTTGATGGATTGGCCCAAATAATATAAATGGAAATGTATATAATTACTCGTACTGTATACACATTGTTGAACCGTTTATACATGTTTATGTGCATTTCTAAGTTAATTGGAGACAATTCGTAATCATGCTGTTTTTATGTATTGCTGACGTACCAGTGCGGAACTCTGTATCAACGGATCCTGTAAAGACTCGGACTTGGATGCCCCCAAAAAGCATATTGGGGTATCCCTTTATTATTGTGAATTAATCTGAATAAAGGTTTAGGGTGACCAATGTAAGTTAAATATGAAAATTGTTATATTCTTGTATAACTCCTCGGTAATAAAGACATTTATTATTCCATCAGAATAATTTGCTTTCCTTTCTGTGTGTGGTTTGTCCCAGTGCGCCTGCCGTCTTTCAGCCATTGAAAAACAACCAACTTCCTGTGTCTTCAAAACAACATACGCAACATTCGATTTCTTACGTGTTTTGCTAAATACAAAAAAAAATGAGAAACGTTCAGAATTGTATTTTGGCGTCGCTATCTGTATGCTCTATATACTTTGCGTATGTGCACATCTACTGCTCTCATAAATTACTGAAAACAAATGCACTCTGCTGCGAGAGACTTCCAAAGCTGTCATATCTGTTTCTCAAATACCTGACCAAAGCTCTTATGTGGAGAAAGGGCTGCTTGTACCAGCCACGCAGGAAGAAGAAAAGCGACGTGTTTTACTCCGTCGACAACTGCAGGTGATCTTAATTGGCCGATTGTCTGTTGTCATAGTCAATGTTTCCGAGCAGCATGAGATTGTTGACCCCCTTTTTTTTTTTAGAATAGACACTGTGCTTTTGAAGCGGTTTTGCAGTGCTGCGGGTTATGGTTGGGACTATCCAGACAGTGAATACAGAGATATTCCTCTCTGCTTTCCCGAGGTTCTGTGCTGCACTCTCCTGCTTATGGCAATTACTGATCACAACTTCCGGCTGAGCCCACTTGGTAAGTTAATAATTCCTGAATCGATTCTTGCTGAATTTTTAAACTGGAAAAACGTGTTGATGGCAAACTGTCTGAACATTTCTTACATTTCTTTCTTGACCATTTTAAGGTATACTACACCCTTTTCCTCACTAGTTGGACTTTAGCATGCTACCATGCAAAAAAACAAAACAACAACAACACAGACCAGTATTGTATTGTTGTGTCTTCATGCTGATCTTGCTGCTGTCACCAATTACCTATCTATCAGGATATCCGTAGCAACAGCAAAACAAAGAGACCCCGACCCAGCAAGACCAACCTGCTGTTGTTTCCCTGCTGGTAGTGAGTGACATAGGGGAAAAACTCCAGCTTGTCGCCAGCTATCACCCGCTTCTGGCAGGGCCCCAGAAACATGTTGGCCCCTGCTGGATGACTGTAGCACAGTTCATTGAGCGGACTGGCTAGTGAGTGACAGAGGTTTCGGCTCTTCGGATCTCGGCTGTTTTGTTTTTGGTTTTGCTGCTGGTCTTCTTGGTGACATTAGCAAGACCAACACGAAAACACAATAAAACCTTGCTAGTCTCACAGGGTAGAACAACATCATCTAACTGCTGTGATGCATGACATTGTGTACTAAATAACGTGTGTTGTACTACCAATGAAGTGTTGAATTGTAGATTTCTCGTAAATTTGTGTTTTTCACTCAAACAACTTTTCATACACGTTGGCATTATTAGAGGGCATTGATGTACTTGACGATTCACCTGAGTCCAAGGTTTCATTATATTGTCTGAATAACTTTTCCAGGTCTGGTTTGTGTGCGCCAGAGCATCAAAACGCATCAGCCAGTTGATGAGTTGAAGAAAGGTCCCTTCACGTTGCAAATTCAAGTCCTCGTGTACAGAACTGTGGATGTCGGTGTGGAGGTGGATGTCTTGCTGTCTTCTATTTCCCGTTCCAAGAACCTTGTGTGGGAGAGCATCCTAACACTGCTGTCCGAGAACAAGTGCCATCAAGCCAACAATGAAAATGAGGGTGAGTGACGATCGCTCTTATTAGAAACGTTGTCTTCACAATATGAATTTCAGAAGTCAGAAACTTTCCTTGGGAAGCATTGTAAACTAGTGGCTTCCTCATAGTTCTGTGGTTGGGGTTATAAATCTCTTCTCTGGCCTTCCTGTGTGGCGATTGCATGTTCTCCCCATGGTTGCATTGGTTTTCTCTGGCTACTAAAACATATCAATGCTATTTAAAAAAAAGTATAATTGACAACATAACTTTCCCTTCACTGGAGAATTGGTTTGAGCATGTTAAATAAAAGGTGGGGAATGTCAATGCGGTCCTTGTTTCCTTCTATTTTTCAGTATGCAGTCCTTGAGAAAAAAATTGGAGATGGAATAGCAGATATTAAGAACGATGTACAGTGATCCCTCGCTATTTCACGGTTCGTTTATCGCGGCTTCAGTGCATGCGGATTTTTTCAAACATAAAAAAAATAATTTTTTTTTGAAATTTTTTGGGGGAATTTTTTTTAATAAACATGGAGTAGAGTACTGTATATGTTGCTCTATGTGACTCGCTTTTGTTTTGCAGCTTCTCGCGGACTGTTTGCGGACTTAAAAAAAAATTGTTTTTTTTTTAACCTGTATATTTTAATTGGTCACTACTTCGCGGATTTTCGTTTATCGCGGGTGGTTTTGGTCCCCATTAACCGCGATAAACGAGGGATTACTGTATAGTCAAATCATATGCATCGATTTAAAAATTTCAATGCAAAATGAGCTAAAATGATTTTGCAGCCATGTACAACTGGAATACTAGTGATTGTCCTACAGCTAGTTGTGATGTCACAGATCTCCTTCAACAAAATCGTTGTGCTCTTTTGGGGTAAAACTCTTTTCGTCGAAAGTAAATTGTCACCACTCTAAATTCTCTTTTGACTGACTGAATGTAATTCTTTTGTGTGCAGTTGTATTGGCAGGTCAAAATTCCGAAGCCGTGCTTCCGCCAGTGAGACAAGTGGATCTCAGAGTTCCATTGAGTGCTGGCCCACCATGTGCCTGGTCTTTCTTGGACTATTGGTTCCTCTATCTGCCAGCCTGTCTGTTTGGCTTCAAGTTGCGGCCCATCTCAAGTCTGTGGATGTTGTCTGTCTGCCTGGCTGAAATAGAGAAGCACAATGGTAATCTCTGATCATTGAGTTTGTGGTTTAGTTCCGAGTGTTGAATAATCTCATGTAACATTGCTAAATTGTTATGGCTTTGTAGCACTCATTGGGTTTTTTCGTTTTGTTTTCCCATCGCCAGGGGTTGGAGTCATCACATCCCCGCTGAACATCATGGCCCAGTTTAAGGACCGTTTGTTGGCACCAAGCAAAGTGACCCTGTCATTTTGGAGATGTCGGCCGTCGACCCAAGACCTCGGGTTCCAAATGCAGCAACACGGGGGTAGCAAGTGTCACGTAGTGGGAGTGATATCTCGGACCTGACTGAAACAGGAAGCAGTCAGTTGTTGGGAATTATACTCTCTCCTACTTAGTGTGTTATGTATCTTGATTGAGTCCTCTCCACTTTAGAGTCCTGTGATGTACAGCTTCTTGGGACTTCCCGCCAAAACTTGGTGTAAAGGCATATTTGTACAGACAGATGAGGTAGAACAAATCAGCATGACCGCAAAATCTAAATGGAGGGGGAGGGGAGAGGGAGAGGGAGAGAGGGAAAGAGAGAGAGAGAGAGAGAGAGAGAGAGAGAGACTTTTTCTCCCCTACCCCCAAACAAAACCCACTCTATATAACACATTTAAGTTAGGCATTCACCATTGCAATTACAGTTATAAAATTCCCTGGCAGTACTGTATATGATAGTGCTAGTTAACTAAGCTTCATCATCTTTATATCAGTTCTTTTACTGCAGGGGTCCCCAACCGCCGGGCCGCGGACCAATACCAGTCCGCGGGTATTTTGGTGCCGGCCCGCACAGAAAGAATAAATAACTTACATTCCTTCCGTTTTATTCATTTCGGAATCTGAAAGATGTTTTGTTTAGAAAAATTACCGGATTCTCTGTTATATCAGTCTACACTGTAGACTGGTATAACAGAGAGGGGTGTCAAACTCATTTCACATTGTGGGCCACATACGGCCTTGGTAGATGTAAAGTGGGCCAGACCATTAAAATTATACCATACTCTGCTATAAATAACCAAAATAATGTCTTTCCTTTGTTTTGGTCTAAAGAAGCACAAGAACATTAGGAAAATGTTGAAATTTAATAAACAGATCTTTTGCAAAATATTTCATGAAGCTCCTTAGATTTCCTTAGACAAATGTGCAATTTACTTTCATCATTCACATATATGTATTGCAACTGATCCCACTGATTGTACAAAGGCACAAAACTGTAACAAGTAATTGGTATTGAAAAATATAGTAATGCACTTACACTTTTACACGTGCATATAAAATCTAAATGTAATCCCTGCCTACACCTTACAAACTAAAGAGAGTGCTATTAAATGTGTAAAGAATAAAGTATTCACGTCCTTGATAGCGTCTGCTGTGTTGGGTCTGTCTCAGTGACAGACTGAGGCTGCTGTTGTCTTTTAGTCTGATCAATACAGTGTGTCCCCCTAGCGGATACTCCATGAATTGCACCGTATTAAAAATATTAATTCCGTGTCTTTTATGCATTTTTTTTCACTTTTAAATTATCCTGCGGGCCTGTTCAAACCTCCTTTCGGGTCGGTTCCGGCCCAGGGGCCGTATGTTTGACACCCCTGGTCTACAGTGTGTCACTCTTGACACAGGTGAATGTGCGCTTCTCGGTCACGTGACATGTTACCGCATAAAAAACAAACGTCTTTGAAAAGTTTTTTCGGGAAGGGGAAAAGGCCCAGGCAGGAGACAGAAGAGGAGCCTACGACTTTCAAGAAAGTGAAGGCTACATTTAATAGACAGTATCAGGAGTCTATTTCAAATACGGCTTTATCTCAACGGGAGATTCACACGCACCAAGCCTACTTTGCATAATAAGCGGCGATGGTAAGTCGTATTTTTCATGCACTTTTTATTTTCGGCGTATCTTATTTTGAAGGCACATTTAAACATTACCACAGCGACCAGAGAATGTCCGGCCAGATAGGGCGTTCCTCATGTAATGATTCATGTTTATTATATCAGTGTTGCGTCCAAGGACCGGCAACCCGAGGCCAAGGCCAAGGACTTGGAAAATGTTCCGAGGCCAAGGCCAAGGACTTGGAAAATGTTCCGAGGCAAGGCCAAGGCTAAGGACTTGAGGAATTTTCCAAGGCCAAGGACCGAGGACTTGCCTCCGAGGCCAAGGCCAAGGACTGATTTTGAAGCCGAGGCCTAGCCGAGGACAAGGTCAAGGATCAAGGACTGATGTTGAAGCCGAGGCCTAGCCGAGGGCATGTGTAAAACAATGCTATCATACCACTTGGCAGGTCTTCATGATTTGCAACACCCCTCCACCATAACCCCAAGCACCCCTCCATCATAACCCCTAGCACACGTCACTCCCTAACGCTTGAATGAAGTGTTTTTATTCAAAGAGTAGAACAGTCAGGGTACGTGTTATTTATACTGAGAAAAAAAAGCATATGATATACGTTTATGAATTAATGTTTTAGTGCAGTAGTTTCTTAATATGAAGTAAATCAACACTCAACAGGCATGACATGGCACGGAAGACAAGTTGAGAAATGACTTTGCATAGAAGTCAATCACTGACTGCAGAAAAAGCGGTAATCTCTAAACATTCTCCGAGTACTACTATTATTACCACTACCACTAATACTACTACTCTGGCATGTAATTACAGCCACAGGCTGTGACGGCCGTAAGGTGTTGAGTTGCCGGAAAGCGTGGATATAAAAGTGTTGCGACTGACAATAAACGGCAATGAGCACAGAGTCAGTTTCCCAGCCTTTTATTGTACACATTACACAACAATTACTATTACAACTGCTACTAATACTACTCCTAATACTACTACAGCACCAACACATTTTCATTACATTTCAAAAACATCAACACTTCCAGCATTTCTGCTGACAACCGTGCCCTGTGTAGCTGCATGATAGTGCCCCCCCCTGCTGAAAACTCTCTCAACAGGGGCACTGCTCGCAGGTACCGGTAGGATATGCTGCGCCAGCAACAACAAAGAAGGATACTTGACACTGGCCATCCTGCCCGGGCT